TCACTGACCTCGCCTCTCACTCTTAACTGAGGTGTTACTTTCTTTTATCCTTTTTCTTCTTTTCTCATTCTTTTTTTCTTTTTTTCTTCCCTCTCAAGGTTCTCGACTGAAAATGCCTTCCTGAAACAGTGGGATGTCTCCAAAAAGGTCTCTGACTGGACTTCAGGGAGACTAAAGATGACATGCCTGAGCTAATACAAAGACTTCTGATGACAAATATTTACGACCATCTCTTAAGAATGCCTTTTTGGGCCATACAGCTGAAATACAGGATCATGAGTCTAATATCTTCATTCATGAATCTGCCATTTACAACACAACTGCTGAAGAAATGACTTAAAACCCCCAAAGAACATAATTCGCAATTTTCCTGCACTATAACAAAGCAGTCAAAAAAAGATACCTTGCATCCCACTGCTACTCTCTCCAACCAGCCAAGAATCAAGGGAGTAAGCCACCTGGGTCAAGCATTCTGCATTGGAATCACTAGCTCTTAATCACGCAAACTGCCAACAACCTTGTGACAACCTCCAACCACCAGTCTGTGGTTCTAGACCTCTTGCGGCACAGCTGGCACTGCTGGCCAGTTCTGCCACCTACACCAATTTAAAGAGACAGACCTCCGGCATCACAGACGTGAGAGGTTATGATGAATGGACCAGGATGGGTGAGGCTGGGGTAGAGGGGGGGAGGGGGTATGTGACGCGCTATGAACAACAACTGCTCTCTATTTACACACGTGACGTTGACTACACGCCTTCTTTACCATAGACTAACAAAACTGTTATGTGTCTTAAATTTCCTTCTGTATTTTGTTGCTATTCCATTTCGCTTTTATCCTCACTCTACAAGTGCTTTGCATTGTTACCTCATGATGGCAAGCCAGGGAAAACTGCCAATCAAAGATCACTACACAAAGAACCGTAGGACTAACATATGCTGAAACGCACAACTACTACCATTTTTTATTTTATTAATATATTATTTTTTTAATGAACGACACACGTCTACCTCTACATCAACTGAGCTGCGTGCCAGCAGTGAGGGTGTTAGCGAATCTGCCACGTGAGCATTGGTCTTCTATCTCTGCAACACTAAGTCAGTGCAAACCAGGACCTTGGGTTTCGAAACTGGCGCCGAGCTAGCAACAGCGTGGAATCATAAATGTTAACTTCGAGTTCATACACTTGAACTTTATGAGAGAAAACTAAAAAAAAAAAAATAAATAGATAAATAAAATTTAAGTATGCATCTAATAATCCAAAAATAAACTGAGACTTGCAACAACAGCTATGGCTACAAATACATACTCTTTGCTACGGGAACAGATGTGATCTTTCATATAAGATATTGATATACAGAACTGTACATAACACATCTAATAAAATAAGTGTTGAAGGCAGCATGCAAGAGCAAAATCTGCCTCCCCTGAATGTTGGAAATTACATTACTGCTAAAATGCTAGCAAATGGCACACTAACAAAATTATAAAAATAATAATTGGCTGAGACCTCTATCAAAATACGCATTACAAATAATATCAAGCTCCGCACAGGAAAGTGTCGAGGATGGAAGTCCCTAATACATTAATAATCATAATATATATACATATATTTATATATTCAAATACCTATTTACCTGTGCACATATATGCATGATGAAACTTTCATCTCTAAATGTCACCCTGAAACGTTATCAGAAAAAATCTTTCTTTAACCATTCTAGAGCAACAGAAATAACAAACCTTTTAACGCACTATATACAGATACGGATAGTTTATATATTGAGATAAACAACTTTCCTTTTTTAAAATCTGTAAGGTGACTAAGTACGCCTTGCAGCTGCAGTGTCTCCTTTACATCATTCCTCCGAGCAAGGCGAATTTCTTTTCCCTCTCTCTAAAGCTTCAAGAAATGACAATAAAGTCCCATCCTCTCTTATTCTCAACTCTTTGTCTGCAGTGTTATATATGACACGACAGTCATTAATCAAATAAGGCTCTATCCCTTTTCTTGCAGCTCTTGCAGAGGTGACTGAATTATATCACTGAAAAGTAGTGCATATCCTGTATAACCTGCTTAACATTTTGAGGAATACAGAATAAGAGGTAGCAAGAGGAGAGAAAGAGAGAGAGAGAGAGAAATGGGTGAAAGGGAACAAATTTTTTAAAATTATGAAAACTCAATCATGAACACATGATGGAAATGCAAGCACAATGGCCAGTGTGGAATGAAAGGTTAATGTTGTGAATACAATTTCAAAAACCTACTTCCAAGTCCACATGCTGCATTCCTCCAAACCTCCGCACTACTATTAAAACTCTTCATATATATACAAATATCCATTATCAAATTAAGATAGAACTCTTAATCCAAAAATATGGAATGTTCTGGAGAATTTTAGTGACCCAACGGTCAAAATTTTAACAAGCTAAAAAGGTACCATTTGCGAGAACTTCTTTTCATGATAAATCCGATTCAAACTGGATTCGCTCCATACA